GCAACAGAGCTGTGTATTATCAGCAGTACCAAGTGCAGTAATGACATTATAGCATTTTAGAATATTCAGATGAGTTCTTACCACAACTCTCTAAGGTAGACAACTTTGTTTTGTAAATGGAGACTGAGTTCAGGAGAGTGATTTGTTGAATACCAACTAAGTTGTTTTTATATCAGAGCTTTTTCACACTATCAGGCATGGCTTTTCCCCAACTTGTTGAAAGTGTAATATAAACAAAGATGCCACTCAATACCCAAGATGGCATTATATTAACTAGAAACATACTTCCATTTGCCAAAGTTTTTTCTCTACTTTTAATTCACAAGTGAATTTCATTTAGGAAGTATCTCTTCTACACTAATCAAAAGCTTTCACTTTGCAGATCTGTCCAGCTGTATTGCTTTCCTGCATAGCACAGCAATGGGCAGGAAGCAAATGAATAGTGAATTGTCTCTTAATTGTTCTTTGTTTAACTTCAGTCCCCTGGCAAAAAAGGATATTGAATTTACTCATTATTTCTTCCTTTTCTTCCTTTCCAATATGGAAAAATAGTGCTACTTTACTATATATAGAGAAAAATGAGTAATTTTATGCCCTTTTCTTCATGGGTGACAGTCATAAATGAAATACTGTAGGGAGCAATTAAGATCTGATTCAGTATTAATTTCCAGCAGTCTTGAACACAAAAACAGTAAAGTTGACTAATCAGAAACTGAAAACTTCCATCTGAAAGAAACTGTGTCCTTTAAGAGCATATGGTTTGTCTTTGCTGTGTTAATGAGTACGATTGTGTTTCCTTACAATAATAATTATCTGAGACTCTATATGAAAACAGAGGAGGTATACAGAAAACATTAACCATCCACCAAGAATATTGTATAGTTTCCCTGTAAAAATAACTGTATGAACAAAGAATGGCAATTCCAAATAAAAGAATGAGCATGGAAACAACATTGTTGAATATTTTTTTTAAAAGAAAATGGGGTTAAAATTGGGAATTACTTAGTCACCTAGGCTGCCTTTATCTTCAGCTCACTTTCTGAAGATAATCTACCTTGGATATAGGGAATCTTATTTAATTCATATATCTATGAATCAACACTCAAAACCACTGACATTTTTGTCTATGCTTCTGTTAGGATGAATGGGTCTATAAATTGTAGGGATGAAATCATCAACGAAACTTGGTATCTTTCACATATTGTTCAGTTACTACACCCATAACCTAAGGCATGTTGTCTGACTGTTGTAACTCAGGTAATCCTCACTTAACTATGCTAATTGAGACATGAAACTCCACTGTTAAGAGATCCAGTCATAAATAAAAATAAACCTACATGGCTGTGCCTCTTAATTCCAGCAGTCTTGATTGTCATTGTTAAACAAGCACTGAATGGATTAAGGGAGGACTTCGTATGGCTACTACATGTGACTTGCTGCCAGCTTCTCCACTGACTTTGTTTATCAGAAGTTGGCTGGGAAGATTACAAATTACAATCACGTGACCGTAGGATGATGAGACATTGTAATTGCGATGCAGACATTGAGCACCTAGATCACCATCATGTGATCAAGGAAAGAAGCAACCTAGAACTAAGGAGAAATTTCCTGACAGTTAGAACAATTAATCAGGGGGAACAATTTGCCTCCAGAACTTGTAAATGCTCCAACACTGGAAGTTTTAAAGAAGAGGCTGGACAATCATTTGTCTGAAATGGTATAGAAATTCCTGCCTGATCAGGCGATTGGATTAGAAAAGGGGGTCAAACTGGTGGCCAGTGGGCTGGATGTGTCATTGCACAGGCCATGTC